AGGGAAGCACTTTACCAGGAAAAATGAGCTATATCCCCAGCCCTCTTCTGTGTTTTAAATGAATTGACTTTTAAGTGGGCAGGCAACATCCTATCAGCTACAAGCCAAACTACTTTCTTCTGTTTTTTAATCTACACTGTCCTATACATGTGTTTTTTGTTCTTGTGCTTCTATTTTGTTTCCTGATTTCAGATGGTAGAACTTGCCTTCTTGTCCCTGCTTTAATGAGAATCTAGTTCAGAACAAAGCCCCCCAGTCACCTCATCCTCTCTGATAATCTAAGGAGAATCCTCTGGTGAAGAGGAGAATAAGACCTCTGACATAAAGCCTAGACTACTCTTCCTTTTGATATCTGACCAGAGTCTCCAGGAAGTCACAGTTCCTGCCTTGCTCTTACTTTAGATTATATAGTCATACTTGATAAAGCCTTTCACCAAGACCTTGCCTTATGTAAGATGACTGGGTATGGTGGCACATGCCTGTAATCCCAACAAAGCAGCTTGGGAGGCTGGGACAGGAGGATCAATTGTGAGTTCACAGCCAGCCTCAGCAAAAGTGAGGTGCTAAGCAACTCAATGGGACCTCTCTAAAAAGTACAAAATAGGGCTGAGGATGTGGTTCAGTGGTCAAGTGCCCCTGAGTTCAATTCCTGGTACCCACCCCCCAAAGAAAATAAATAAAAAGAGCTGAGCATGTAGCTCCCACACCCTTCCCCAATGGATCCCCAATACTGCAAAAAGCATAAGAGAAGGCCAATGGCTAGGTATAGTGGTGCATGCCTGTAATCCCAGCTACTTGGGAGTCTGAGGCAGAAGAATTGAAAGTTCAAAGCCAGGTATAGTGGCACACGCCTGCAGTCCCAGTGGCTTAAGAGAATGAGGCAGGAGGATCTTCAGTTTAGCCAGCCTCAGCAAAAGCAAGGCGCTAAGCAACTCAGTGAAACCCTGTATCTACATAAAATACAAAATAGGGCTGGGGATGTGGGTGAGTGGCCGGGTGCCTCTTAGTTCAATCCTCAGTAATCCCCGCCCCCATCCTCCCACCCCGTCCTCCCACCCCCCCTCCCGCCCCCAGAGAAGAAAGAAAGTTAAAGGCTAGGGGAGCCACTTAGGGAGACCCTGTCTCAAAATAAATTTTAAAAGGAGCTGAGGATGTTGCTCATTGGTAGAATCCACTTAGGCTCAATCTCCAGTACCACAAAAGATAAAGAAAAAAAAAARAGAGAGACACCAGTGACTAGCAAGGAATTAGGAAAGAATGGCAGAGACAAGTTTGGTTTGGAATTTGCCTTTGCTGATGATAAATTAAAATGAAAATAAAGTACAAGACTATTTATTGTACTTTGTTTAATTATGTTCCAGAAAAATCTTACAAAATTAAAAACGTATTTTATACCTGAGTATATTTTTGATGTATGATATATAATTATATATAAACTAATATAAAAATGTATTTTTACATAAAGGTGAATTTTACTTATACTTCTAAGTAAASTCTTTTCTAGCCTGTGCTTTCTGATTTAGGGAATTTTTTCTTTTTAGATGTGCATCATGTGAGATTAATATTATTTTATTTGTTTCATTTATGGGCTTTCAAAATGCAACCATAGAAGACATGCACATTTGAAAATTAATYTTTTACTTTTTTCTTAATTCTAGATTCTTATTAATTCGCTTAAAAGAATTTTGTGGAGAATTTCTCAAGAAAAAACTTCATCTCTCAAATTGTGTGGCCATTCATAGTTTAGCGCACATGTATACCCTGAGTCAACTTGCTCTAAAAGCTGCTGATATGATACGGAGAAATTTCTACAAAGTCATTCAGGATGAAGAATTTTATACCTTACCTTTCCATCTCATTCGAGATTGGCTTTCAGACTTGGAAATTACGGTTGATTCTGAAGAGGTTCTCTTTGAAACAGTTTTGAAGTGGGTTCAGAGAAATGCTGAAGAGAGAGAGAGATACTTTGAAGAACTTTTTAAATTGCTCAGGTTGTCCCAGATGAAACCTACCTATCTTACTCGACATGTCAAACCAGAGAGGCTGGTGGCCAATAATGAAGTTTGTGTCAAGCTGGTGGCAGATGCAGTGGAGAGGCATGCTCTGAGAGCTGAGAACATACAATCTGGCACATTCCAGCATCCCACTTCTCATGTCTCATTGTTACCTCGCTATGGACAAAATATGGATGTGATCATGGTTATTGGAGGTGTGTCAGAAGGAGGTGATTATTTAAGTGAATGTGTGGGATATTTTGTTGATGAGGACAGATGGGTGAACCTGCCCCATATTCATAATCACCTTGATGGACATGCTGTGGCAGTAACAGAATCCTATGTGTATGTTGCTGGATCAATGGAACCAGGGTTTGCTAAAACTGTGGAAAGGTACAACCCAAATTTGAATACATGGGAGCATGTTTGTAGTTTGATGACAAGGAAGCATTCTTTTGGGCTAACAGAAGTTAAGGGGAAGCTGTATAGCATCGGTGGACATGGCAACTTTAGTCCTGGCTTTAAAGATGTGACTGTTTATAATCCTGAGCTCGATAAATGGCACAACTTGGAATCAGCACCAAAGATTCTTCGAGATGTCAAAGCGCTCGCCATCGAAGACCGATTTGTGTACATTGCTGCCCGCACTCCTGTGGACCGAGACACTGAGGATGGGTTGAAGGCTGTAATTACATGCTATGATACAGAGACTCGACAGTGGCAGGATGTGGAATCTTTGCCACTTATTGACAATTACTGCTTTTTCCAGATGTCTGTGGTCAATTCAAACTTTTATCAGACGGCATCATGCTGTCCCAAGAGTTATTCTTTAGAAAATGAAGAGGCAGTAAGAAAAATTGCCAGCCAAGTGTCTGATGAGATCCTTGAAAGCTTGCCTCCAGAAGTCCTAAGCATTGAAGGAGCAGCCATTTGTTATTACAAAGACGATGTCTTCATTATTGGAGGCTGGAAAAACAGTGATGATATTGACAAACAGTACCGGAAAGAAGCCTACCGATACTGTGCAGAGAGAAAAAGGTGGATGCTCCTTCCTCCCATGCCACAGCCTCGTTGTAGAGCCACTGCTTGTCACGTCAGGATCCCATACCGGTACTTGCATGGCACACAGAGATATCCTATGCCTCAAAATCTAATGTGGCAGAAGGACCGCATCAGACAGATGCAAGAAATACATCGGCATGCCCTGAACATGCGGCGAGTGCCAAGCTCCCAGATTGAATGCTAAATTCTCTAACACATGCAGTTTATAAACTGTTCTCCATGTTTAAACATGAAGCTGAAGATACCCAGACTGTTACTTGAAAAAGTATGTYGATAACTTATTTTCTACCTGGAATGATTATAACTCAATGTAAAGGAAGTATAGTTAAAAACTGAAGAATGGGAAACCGAATTCAATACATGGTAATTTTTGTTAGTTTGTGATCTTTATCTGTCTTTAGTTTGTGTGTGTGTGTACAAGCTAAATAAGATCTTATTAAAGACAAGTGGAAAAAGCAGGTCTAATTATTTGGCTGTTTTTCTGCCAACAAGTTATAACTCCTTTGTCTTAAGGGATTTATGTTTTGAAAATGCTTTAAGTACCAATTTTGTTTGCACATTTCCTTTGATATTCCTTTTCGTTTTTTATAGAATGGTTGGTTTCAACAAGTTCAGAATTTATGCATTAAGCCCTGGTCTGCAGGAGGCATGTGCAATAGTGAGACTGAAATTTAAAGGAAAAAGCACAATATTTTAGCAAGATGATTTCAGAATGTTTGCATTGATATTTTTTTGTATGTGTTTATCTAGAAGTGCTGTTTTGTTCATTTCTAGGTGATTGGCTCATGGTTTTTTGTTTTTGTTTTGTTTTTACTTCTTTAGCAGCTATTTATAGACTTCAAGCCTTCACCCTGAGAAATGGTAGTTGGCAAAAAATTGAATCCAAGAGGAAGTTACATATGTGAATTTGTTTAAGAAGAAAAGTTTTTTTTTTTTTTTTAACAAGAAGATGAAGAAGAAAAGTATTATAAGTGTAGACTGAGAAATCAAAAGAATTTAAAACTTTTTTTCAGGAGTTGCAGGATTATTTAAGGATATGTTAATGAGTTTAATGCTTATGACAATCGATACTCAATGCCTTCAGTTTTAAGTTTTGCTCTAATGCATGTTATGTAGAATCTTCATTTCTTTCTAAAAGAAACTTTTCAAAATGGAAAGAAAGTAACAATTTGGAGAAATGTTGCTAAAGAGAAGCCTTATTATTTCTGGCCCTGATTGTTATAATATTTTATCCAGTTGTCCTAGACTTGTATTAGAACTTTGCCTGAGCCTAGAATACCAAATTTGGGTGCATTAATCACTGCAACTTTCCTTTAATTTTGTGCATTATTCTGATTCTCTGACACTCCTGAGCTTTATATGAGTTAGCATTTGGGCTGATTCATTCAGCACTTGGTTAACATAAAGGACTCCTATTTGGTGGTTTGCAGTGTTGATCCTGTATTTTCAGAAATGTCTTTACCTTTTTAAAAAATTCTGGAATACCATTTTAGAAGTCAAAGTCCAAGTGCAATGATTTTTTTTCCTCCAGCCTATAGTTAACCACCTACAGATTGATAGTGATCAAACTATCAAATCATCAAGAGAAAGGCACAACCAGAAACTTTGGCTCTCAAAGAACTTTCTTGAATTTTCTAAATTGTATTCCCACCTAGGATAAGTATTTTTAATAGATTGGAAATCGGTTTTTAAACCATTTAATTTAAACTGGAGTAAGGATGGGAAACTGCAAGTCTGTTTCTTCCTATGAATACATTATTATCCTACCACACTACTACATTTCTCTCAATTTCCATTTCTTCGTAGTTATTTTTTTAGAAAGCCATTTGGGTTCTGAGAAGCACTAATTCTTGGTTGGGAGAGGTCTATGCAAGTAAGATAGAATCATCAAAGCTCAATGATTTATCTCTGGGCTCTGCAAGCAAATTTACTTTTCATGGTTATGTTGAAATAATTTAGTATCTCRCTAGGATGCCAGTTTTTCTCCAAAAGAGTGTGAAATATTGTTTTTTTTTTAATATTTATTTTTTAGTTTTCGGCGGACACAACATCTTTGTATATGGTGCTGAGAATCGAACCCGGGCCGCACGCATGCCAGGCGAGCGCGCTACCACCTGAGCCACATYCCCAGCCCCCYTTTTTTAAATTTTGAGACAGGGTCTTGCTAACTTGCTGAGGCTGGCTTAGAACTTGCTCCTGCCTCAACCTCCTGAGCTGGGATTATAGGTGTAGGCTGCCCACACCCAACCTGTTTGTTTTTTGATCTCACTTTCAAGTTGTTTATAGGGTCATTTTTTTTTTCAATGATGTGATAGAATGATAATAAGATTTAGGTATAATCTGGTTTTAATAACTTGATCAAAACTGTTATTTTTTAACTCGGCAGGCAGCCTAGGCCTTGACTGAAAGAAGGGGTAAGTCCTTCATTGCATGATGATGTGTGCAGGTTTTCCTGACTACTGAGTTTCTAATTTTTATATTTGAATTCACACTGTGACTTCACATAGTAACTTGTGTTTCTAAAATATCCTAACTCACTTATTGATAAGGAAACAAACCAGATTTGCTTAAATCTGTTCAAGGCTGACATTCTGAAATTCTAAACTGGAAATAAGACTATTTGGAATGGTTCTAATATTATGATCAGGCCTCAAGTGGCTGTTTGGGAAAGAAGTTTTCCTTTTGATGAAAATTCAAAATGGTGTTTGGTAATTTAAGCAGTTTTTAAAAACACAGCTTAATAAAAAAAAACAACAGCTCAATGAGTACTCATGCAAACCTTTGTTCTATTGCTTTTGTTTTTCTTTGGTGAAAGGGAGAGAGAGGAATTGATAATACCAAAAAAAAAAAAAGTAATAACTATACATAACTTTTGGTGAGGCTGCTTTCATCTTAGAATGGGGTATCCTTGAACTATACCTACTGTAACATGGTTTTTAAAAAAATCAGTAGTATAAATTGAGAATGTCAGTCATGAGCTTAGTGTTTAATACATCTCACTTGGAGTTATTTGCATGATTAGTCTTGTGTATCTTGATAGTCAGCTTTGCTTTTGCTGTGCCAATTCAAAAATAACGTTTTTGCTAAGAGCTCTTAGAATTMATTGACATCAGTTTTGTTTTGATCACCTGGTTTTGTATAGTATTTCTGGGACCAAAACATTTATATTAAAGCAACAACACTTGACCATTTTAATGTAGAGCATAAGTTTGAAGCCAGAAACAGTTATCTATAGAAGATTTGTGTGCTTTTTGTGTTTTAACCCTTTCAGGCTGCTGGCTAGGCAGTTTCTAGAGCACTCTCTTTCCTCACTTATCTCAWGACTGGTGTAGCATGTGATATGTTTAAAATATTTCATTTTGTGCTTCATGATTGTCATATCAACACTATCTATACTCTAGACAGGTGAGCTGAATTATACATTTATTTACTCGGTCTGATCAAGCAAAACTAAAGGAATTTTTTTGGTACTTTCCTCAAACTGAGCTTAAATAAAAAGGATATATCAGCCACATTTCATGTCTTTGAAAGTAAACAGTATCGTGAAACAACACTCTGCCTACACTAGAAAAATAGGGTGCTTTAACTGTCGAATATTTGAGAAACTCCTCAGTCTCTCCTCCACCGTCAACATTTTGACACAGCTTGTCACTCCAGTTTGTGACTTTCTTAAGAAGAGTCCATATTGTTGTTTGATGCTCACATTATAACGTAGGTTCTGGTCACTGGACCAAAACCAAAACAGCTTATAGTTGAGTGCTATAATACAGTAACATAATAGTCATTTTGCTTTAAGGAATTTAATTAATCAAATTACTGCTCTTTATCCATGGCTCCTGTAGGGCTTTCCTCTTACTCTGTGACCATTCCTACAAATATCTTACACTTACACTAAAGCACATAAGCTAAAGCACTTGTTAGCTTAATCCTCCTACTTCATGCACTCGTGAAAAGCAGTGCTTGCTAGGTGTTTGAAGATATTACAATCCATGTGCTAGGGCTCATTGAATTATTTGTAAAACTGATATTTAGTTGTTAACAACTTTTTGGGCTAGCAGTATCCAGGCCCCTRTGCAAGGTATAATCTTGACTGTCTCCCTTCAAGTCAGAGGAGATGTAGTATTTAGAAGATTTGAGACATTATGTTTTAAAATAACTTGTCTTATGTTACTGAAGCTATCTTGCTCTGTGTTAAAGCTACTAATTGTCTCAATGTAAGTTTTCAATAAACATATTTCTTTAGAGCTGGTTTGCACTGTGTGATTTTTTTAGTTGTGTACTGGTGAAGTTAATTACATTCTTCCCCTACTCCCTCATTTATCCAACCCTTGCTTCCCTTAAGTTGAACATTTTCCAGTACTCTTACAAGTTTAAAGACTGCATTTATTTAAAAAAAGAATTAATTCTTATTGCTTAGACTTTTTATTAGCTAAATGAAGAGGCTCATACAGGTAGGGTACTTGTCGAAGCGGAATACTTTACTTCATCTCGCAGTGCTAATCCTGTGAAGTTGTCCCGTCTAGCTGCATATTCCCCAACATTGGCCAGCCCCGGTACCACACAGCAGCTCAGAGCACTGCGGTATATACTCATGTCATGAGCRTCATACCACTCGTCGGTCTTTTCATCATAGCACTCAACATTAAAGGTGGTGGTAAAGCCATTAAAGCCACCTACCACAAACAAGAGGTCATCCACTACTTCGATGCCAAAATTGCTACGTGGATTAAACATAGTGGGGATCGTACGCCAAGTATTAGCCACTGGGCTGTAGGCTTCTGCACTCCTAAGTCGATTAGCTCCATCAAAACCACCTACCTGTGGATTGCAAAAGAAACATGGTTGGCTGGTAACCATTGCCTCTGTTCACTGAGGAAACCCTCTTGGGACTTCAGGGCCTGGTGGATACACCTGTAATCCCAGCGACTTGGGAGCCTGAGGCAGGAGGATCACAAGTTCAAAGCCAGCCTCAGCAATTTAGCGTACCCTAAGCAACTTAGTGAGATCCTGTCTCTAAAAATATAAAAGGGCTGGAGGTATAGTGGTAAAGAGCCCCTAGGTTCAATCCCTGGTACCAAAACAAACAAGAAAAATGAAGCCCTCTCTTGGGGAGAACCAGTGATCTCATGCCTCCCTCTTTTCAATGCTTACCAAAGGTACACTAAACCTGTTTGCTAACAAAATCTATTAATTTTTCTTGTACAAGACAAACTTACCGCATATACGTGTTCCCCATAAGCAATTACACCTATTCCACTCCTCCTGCTTCTCATGGGTGCTATGACTGTCCACTGATTACTCTCAGTGTTGTACACTTCTGCTGTAAACAGGCATTCATTTCCATTAAACCCACCACATATGTAGACCTGCATGAAGAGAGTTGAGAGTCTGTTAAAATTGCTCTTGGGAATAAAAAGAAATCAGCGTGTGGCAGGGGATRTGTAATGCCAGTCTGTATGATCAATTTTTCTACATATGCATGCGTTGCTTTTTCTTTTTTTTCTTTTTCTTTTTGGACTGGAGGTGGAACTGAGCTTCATCCACAGCCCTTTTTATTTGGAGACAGGGTGTTGCTAAGTTGCCAAGGCTGGCCCTCAAACTTGCAAACCWCCTACCTTGGCCTCCCAAGCAGCTGGAATCACAGGTTGCAGGTGCTGCATCATGGGTTGTTTTCTTGTGTGTGTTTTTGGTTGTTTTTTGTTTTGTTTTTTAATTGGAGATTGAACTCAGGAGCTCTTTACAACTCAGCTATATCCCAGYCCTTACTCATTTCTTATTTTGAGACAGGATCTCAGTAAATTGCTGAGGCATGAAATTCTGATTTTCCTGTCTCAGCCTCCTGAGTCCCATGCTGGAATTCTAAGCATATGCCACCAYACCTGGCCATTCATTGCTTTTTGATACATAAAAGTTACAAATGATCAATCATTTGAGGAGAAAATTCAGTCAGCTCTCTGTATACTTGGGTTCCACATCCATGGATGCAACTAACCAAGGATTGAAAATACTAGGGGGGAAAATTGTGTCTATAACGAAAATACACAGACTGTTTTCTTATAATTAATTCCTAAACAATACAGCATAACAACTACTTGCATAACATTTACATGGTATTAGGTATTATAAGTTAAAGTATGTGAAGGGCCTGGCATGGTGGCTCACACTGTAATCCCAGCAGCTCAGGAGGCTGGGGCAAGAGGATTGTAAGTTYAAGGCCAGCTTCAGCAACTTGCCCTAAGCAACCTAGTAAGACCCTGTCTCAAAATAAAAAGGGCTGGGGATGTGGCTCAGTGATTGGGCACCTCAGGTTCAATCCTCAGTACCATAAAAGCAGTGGTGCATGCCTGTAATCCCAGTGTCTGGGAGGCTGAGACTGGAGGGTCTCGAGTTCAAAGCCAGCCTCAGAAACATCAAGGCACTAAGCAACTCGGAGATCCTGTCTCTAAATAAGTCACAAAACAGGGCTGGGGATGTGGCTCAGTGGTCAAGTCCCCCTGAGTTCAATTCCCAGTACCTCCCCCCCCCAAAAAAAAAAAAATGTATGTGGAAGGAGTTGGGCATGGTCACACACACCTGCAATCCTAGTGACTCCAGAGGCTGAGGCAGGAAGATTGCCAAGTTCAAGGCTGGCCTCAGCAACATTAGTGAGACACTGTTGCARAATAAAAATTAAAAAGGGCTGGGTTGTAGCTCAGTGGTAGAGCACTTGCTTCCCAAGTGTAAGGCGCTGGGTTCAATCCTCAATACCATATAAAAATAAGTTTAAAAAAATAAGTAAAAAAAAAATATATAAAGATATTGTGTCGGGCTGGGGATGTGGCTCAAGCAGTAGCGCGCCTGCCTGGCATGCGTGCGGCCCGGGTTCGATCCTCAGCACCACATACCAACAAAGATRTTGTGTCCRYCKASAACCAAAAAAAAAAAAATATTTAAAAGAAAGAGGGGTGGCTGGGGACATAGCTCCGTGGGGAAGCACCTCTGGGTTCAATCCCAAATACCAAAAGTTAAAAAAAAAAAAAAAAAGTATGTGGAAGGACAGAAGATACGAAAGTACCATGGCACTTTAGATAAGGGACTTGAACATTCATGGATTTTAGTATCCACAGGAGGTCCCAGTCCCTTCGGAAACCAAAAGATAACTGTACTGCACAGTGAGTCCTGCCACTTTGTTTTCCATCCTCCCCACCACGGGAAGAACGGCAGCACTTCTGGGCTTGTTCGGGCCTCCCCTCCCACCCTGGTTCTTTACCTTCCCATAGAGTGTCGTGGCGCTGGCATCGCTCCTTTGTTCATGCATGGGGGCGATGAGTGTCCATTGATTGGTCTCTGGCTCATAACGCTCAGCAGTATTGAGACGCACGTAGCCGTCGAATCCTCCCATGGCGTATATAAAATTGCTGAGGACTGTCACGCTGACATAGCAACGTCTGGAGTGCATCGGGGCCACTTGGTGCCAAGTTTTCTTAACTGGATCAAAACGCTTTACACTATTGAAGTAGTCTACACTATCAAACCCCCCAATGATATAAACGTAGCCTTTCAAATAGGCTGCCCCATGATAGGCACGAGGACTCTCTTCCTCGCAAGTGACATTCACCCATCTGTCTGCCCGAGCATCATATGCCTCAATGGCATTGGTGGGGCTCCCACCACTCCAGCCACCAATTGCAAATAGGATGGCATAGGGCAGGCGGGGCCTGGTGAGTGGGTTGGTGAAGTCAGAATTGGAGGGTCCGTTCATGTTTAGATCATACATGGCCTTCAGGGCATTAATGATGACTGGCTTGCATTCCTCGCTATCTTTGACATAGTCATTCATCTTAACATTGTTCATGAAGTACTCGGCATGCATTAGGGCCAGGCGAACCTAAGAAGGAAACAGAGAGAGTCATTCAGATGAGGTGAGGGTGCCTGGAAATCCCATATCCTTAAGATCTCTTTTACAGGCACTGCTGCAGTTATTTTGGATTGTTTTTAGATGAATAACTCAGTTTAAATATTTGCTTTTGGGAGGAGGCATACATTTGGATGCTGAGAATGAATTAGATGGAAGGTAACTGAAGGAGTCAGAACAGGACTAAAAGAGCGGAAGAAGCTGTGGCGATTGTTTAGAATTGAATATCTCTATCTCCATATGTAAAATAACACTAATCAACACCAACTGGCTACAGCTGTGTGCACTACTCATGATTTGGTTTCTAGTCCAATTTGTACCTTGGGTTTGTGGAACTCATCAAATGGAAAAGGATGAAAGATGGCCCATTAGAATTCCTTGAAGGGACTCTTCTGACTCTCCTTCCCTGTCTACCAAGGAGAATTTTGGCCAAAGAACATAAGGGGTRGAAGGAACTAGCAATGTCAAAGAAAATTGCAAAATTCCAGACAATAGTAGGGATGCCTTCTATTTAGTGCATGTAAATAGAGCCTTGGATCTGTCACACATAAGAATGTGGTTCTTAGGGACAATTCCTCTGGGATAAATCAATCAGGAGTGAGCAATTAGCATTCACAAAGAATAACTAAACTTGACCTTAGGAAGTAAAACTGAAATGTGCTGC